CCCTCTCAGCCTCTTAGCAGCCTGCCCCTGCCCCACCAGTGTCCTCGCGCCTCACCCTGCTCCCCAGCGCGGCGCCTGGCCTGGCGGCGCTGCGGGAGGCGGCGCTGCACTCAGCCTTGGACGACTTGTTCAAGATCCTGATGCTCATTTTCGACTTCGTCGTGAAACTCATGGACCCGACACCCCTCGGTGACTACGCCTGGAAATTCGACGGTGTCACGGCGCGGTGAGTCTATACACTTGGGCGTCACCTGGCGGAGCGACGCGGTGCCCGTGATTTCAAAGATTTAGTCGTAAATGAAAATAAGAGAACAAGTTGTTCGAGTTGCTTGACGGTGAGTTGGGCATGACGTCACGCGTGGACCAGTTGGACACAGTGAGGCTGTGGCTGCCTGTGCCCTGCCTGTACTCGTGCCGTCCTTCAAAGCGACCCCATGTTACTGACCTGGTCACCGGGTGACATTGCACTGCGCCTCCAGAGGCAACCTGTCGCTGAAAGGACTGCAGGCGCGCCACCTCCGCGAGCTGACCGTGCAGAAGTACGACATCCACCTGTCCACCCTTTGCGCCGAGGTCAGCCTACTACTCCCGCACCTCACGCTGGAGACCAAGTACGACACTGACCTGAACTTCAATCTCGAGGACGGGTCAAACTCCGATTTTCGACTGTTCGGCAACGGTCAAGCTAAGTAAGGTCACTTAAAAGAGGGTCATTGATGGTCGGTTTGGAGGCCCACTGGCTTCGGCTCACATACTTCCTCTTTCAGGGTGGACATGTGGAACATCAAAATGTACACAGACTTGTGTATGACCGTCAACCCGGTTACTGTGAGGGTGGCCAACATGAAACTGTCAGTTGAGAAAGATAATGTGAGTGCACCGGCTGAGGAAAAGATTATTATTTTGCAACATTTTCAACAGCTTAATTACTTCTTCATGATGGATCTATCTACTTTGACAGGTTGACGTGCAGAACTTATTTTGTGATCAAGCCGTCAGCAAAAGTATAAGTCAAATTGCAACAGATGTTGTTCCCTCTATGGTTCAAGAATTTCAGCAAGAGATAACAAATTTCATTATGAAATATATTAACAAACTAATTGAAGAAAAGTTACCACATTAGAACACTTAATTTTTAGCATTCTGAACATCTACACTTGGAAAGTTTCATACAGCATACACCTCGTAACACACACAAGTCTAGAATCTGTTAGTGCTGTAAGGAGGGCTCAGAATAAATAAATTTGAACATTCTAGTAAGAATACAAAATAATTACTTTGCTACATTTAATCTTAAATGACTTCCAGAGTTAAGATTGTACATACACATATACCACAATCTCATTTGTATCCATGGTAGTAGGTATTTTGAAGCAACCAAAATGATACCAACATAATACAATTAGTGGCTAAGAAAATAAAATAAAAAATTTACAAAAATATTTTTGACAGAATTAACAAGAACAGAAGTGAAAAACAATGCCAAATAACCCAAAGATTTTATATCTACTATTAGAGAGAAATATACAATGGGATACAAAACAAACTTGTAGTATATGATTATTTTACTCTGCCCTAGTATATTCCCATTAAAGAAAAATGGATGAAGGATATGAAACAGAACATGCAGAACTTTCAGAACAGTATGGTTAAACCATAGAAAAAAGTTTGATACTGCCTGTTCTACAACAGAAAGGAAAAATATTTTGAATTAAGAGTTTAACAAGGAGGGCACAAAATCCATAAAATATACATTATTTTAACAAAAATCCAGTTCTGTTCACGAGGATTTTGCAATTTGCAATTTGAGCTTTAGGCAATAGCCAACAATGAGTCAAGTACTATATATCATATAGATGTAGGTCAAAACAAAAGGGATGGAATACATAGTGATACCATTCAAACATGCAAAAGTATGAGTTGGATGAAGAAATAGTTACATCATTACAAACACTTACAAAGCGTCAAGAAGAAGCACACAGACATGTATCCAAATGTCCAAATTCAAACCCAGGAAAGTCAGATTCTAAGAAGCATATCAAAATGCTCTCAATTTTATATAACATTTGTACTTAAGGATATTACCTAGACTTACAATCATTCAATGACTAAACCATGTAACAGGAAACAACAATATTTGAAAAAAAATATTTTTTCTATATGGTCCATAAAATATACATTTAATATGACGGTTTCTATTGTAGTAAGGTACATGACTGGCAGAAGACTTATCTCTTCACGACACTTAAAAAATCTACAACTCCATTTTAACAGAAAAATTCATAGATTCCTCTAATGTACACTGGCGACGTTTCTCTTTTTTCCCTGAGCTAGAGGCTGTCTTGGGCTTTGACTTATTTCTTGGTGTAACTATTTTTGTCTGGGGTTTCTTGGGGGAATTTCCAACACTCCTAAGCTCATAGCTTCGACCCTGGTTTTCCAGTGCATTAAGCTCCTCTTGAAGTTTTAAGGCAAATTCATAATCTTCTTGTTCTTGTCGATACCTGTTGTCATTTCTATTGATGAGGCCATTAATGGACAGTGGTTTTGATGTAGTTGTAGGTAAAGTCTCTATGTTTAAGCTGCCGCTAGTTGAAGTACTTTCTAAGCCTGCCAGATGTTCAAATTCCCTCTCACAGTCAGCTTCTGAATCAGAATCAGTCTTTTTGGACTTCAGCTTTTGATTACTAAAAAGCTTTCCTTGGACGGTTTTAGGTTTGGGATTCTTTCTGGGTGACTCTCTTCTTGACTTCTTGGGAGTTTTCCCTTGCATATCACTGGGTGATCTATCTCTTTTAACATTCTGCACAGGTGTATTTTCATTGGGGGACTTTGAATCTGAAGATGAAAAGTATTGTAAGACAATGCTCGTTCCATACCCCTGGTACTTTCGAAAAAGTAAAAACTCACCTCTCTTCAGCCAAGGGCGAAGAGTGCTAGAACTCGGACCTGTTGCTGATGTGGATGAACATTCATCCAAGTTGCGCATAACTGGGACTGGCTTACACATTTCACTAAGTTTATTTTTAGTCCCGCCTGTAAAAATAAATTTTTGTATGAAGAACAAACATTTTTCTAAAATCTACAGCAGATCCTGATGATAAAAAAAGAAAGTATTGTACCTGGAGATTGCTTGGGTGGAGTTGTTGGAACATAATGAACAGGTCGAAAATGACGCATTTCTGTTTGAAAGCTATCAGTACTGCTTGAGCTATCTGTTCTTGATGTTTTGGCTAGGCCGTCTGGAACAATAATCATAATTATAATTAAACATAATACTGGTAAAGTACAAAAATAGATAGGAGAATAACACCAAAAGAATAAATATTACTTTGAGAGAGAAACAAGTCCATTGGTCCTTTTTTCAGAGGTTGTGAAGGAGGCAGTGGAGTTGAAGGTAAGTGAGGTGTTATTCTTACAAAAGCACTCTGGGCCTAAATAAGACAAAAAATTTACTTGATGTAGAATGAATGAAAAGTATGAGATAAAAAAAAACATTGCCATGTGTATAATTCAAAATTACTTGTTCTTCCTCCAGGAGACGTTGTAGGCTCTCCTCATCTTCAGCTTCCCTTTTAGCATCTTCTGCAGCAAGTTGAGCAGCAATTTTTTGAGCAATTAAAGCATCTTCCTCCTCAGCTTTCCTTCTTAACTCTTCTAGATTTCTCCTTTCCTCCTCTTCTTTTTCCTGAAAAGCAAGATTTGAAGCAACACAACTGGGTTAAAACTAATGAATAAAAGGCTGATATGACCTCTCCCTCAATGAGGAATGTGTTCATAAGTTCTGAAATTAAGTAGAACAAACCTGTAACTCTTTTATAAGTTTTTCGCTAGCTTGTGCCTCTTGCTCTTGACGTTTCAAGGCTTCTTCCTCCATGCGCTTACGTTCTGCTTCATATTCTCGACGAATCAACCCTGGTTCACTAATTTTAGGTGTAGGAATATTAAGTTCTGTGAGACCTGGAAAGTAATGGGAGATACACTATGAAGAAAAATCCTGAATGGCAAACTCCAACTACAAATTTCAACATATTAACCGCATGCGAATTTAACTAAGTAAGTTTAGACCAGAATTTAGGACACAAACCAGAGCAAATGGAAACCTACCATCAATTTCTTCATCATCCTCTCCTTTGAGTTTCTTTTGAACATGGGAGTCATACTGCTGTCGAATGTAAGACCACAGTGCTTCATTTACCATTAAGCCGTTTTTTTGACGTTGTCGTACCCATCCACCAACATACTTTCTACACAAAGGGCATGCCAAAGTGTTATTGTCTATTGTCCTCTCAAAACACAGTTTGCATGTCGTGTGGTAGCAAGGTAAAGTTACGGGTTCAACAAAGATACCCATGCAAACAGTACAGTGCACATCCTGCAAGGTTAAGGACTCCGGCTTGTCGTACTTATTTTCTTCATTTTTCCTACGGGCAGCTTTGATGTTTCTAGTTTTTGAGCGACCCGACATCTCGGAATCCTTTACTACACATGAATTCACTCATACCAGGCGATAACTGTAGTGCAAATTTCCACACAAACGATTTTTCAAGGCGGAACAAGGCTGAACTAAGTTTGCCTCCATCCTCTTAGAATGTGGTGGTTAAAAAACGTTCGTGTTTGTGTGTGGGAAGGGGGAGGGGGATCGAGAGGGGGCTGAGACATAAACATATGAGAAATTTATACCAAGTTTGGGGGGATAAATCTTTATAGGTGTGGGTTCGTTTTGATATGATCGAAGTTATGGATATTGTTTCGGTAATGGATAGTACCGTAAGTTTACCGCTTTAATTATCTTCTTCTGGTGCTCATTTCATTACAGAAGAGCTGCTTCGCTAGAATAAACCTGGGCCATTATTGTGAATTTTTCATACAAGCTGTCGTCAAATCAGGAGGGAAGAAATAGTTACATCATTACAAACACTTAGAAAGCGTCAAGAAGAAGCACACAGACATGTATCCAAATGTCCAAATTCAAACCCAGGAAAGTCAGATTCTAAGAAGCATATCAAAATGCTCTCAA